TAGTGATATTTTCATTAGTGATATCTTCATTAGCACCTACTTTACCTTGGGGTGGTGTACTGCTGAAAATTAAATTAGCACAGGAATTCTAAAACACTCTTGATGCACAACATAGATGGTTTTTTTCAGATGTGTACAATACTTGTTTGTTTGTTTGTTTGTTTGTTTGTTTTTAATGCCTACAGCACCCAGTTTTCCTAGGTGGTCGCCCATCCCTGCTTAGCTTCTGAGATCGGATGAGATCAGGCGTGTTCAGGGTGGCATGGCCATAGATTAATACATTTTATTTAAAACAATATTGTCGGGAATTCATCAGGTGGCAGCTGCTGAATTATTATACATGATGAAAGAGGAAGGGGCTTGAGAGATGTGAGAAAAAGAGGTTCCCAACTAAGAAGAGGGGTTTTCAAATGACAGGGGAGAGACTGGAGAAAGTGACCAGTAAATAGGTGGAATAAAAAATAGAGAGTAGGGATCAAAACACCAGAAGAAAGGGTCACAGTGGGCAAAAGCTGTCAAACCAATGCCAGTTTAGGTTCTTGACCTTTTTTCTTACTGGGCATTCTGGGACCTTAAAATTGTTTTTTTGTTCTTGTTTTGAGTTTTCCTAATTCTTCAAATCTTATTATTATTTTTTTGGGGGGGGGAATATAATTAATTGTTTCAGGTATATAACATAATGACTTGATATTTGTATATATAGTATGTTTGTATATGTATATTTTTGTACATATATGTATGTGTATATGTGTGTGTGTATATGTATGTGTAAATGTGTATGTGTACGTATATGTGTATGTATGCTCACCAGAATAAGTCTAACATCATCACTATTACAAGTTTTTTTTCCTTGTGATGGGAACTTCTAATATCTCCTCTCTTAAAAACTTTGAAATATATGGTGTTACTCACTATAGTCACCATGCTGTGCATTACATCCCCATGACTTATTTATAAGTTTGGGTTTGTTTTGTTTTTTTGTTTGATTTGTTTTTAAGCTTCCTCATATAAGTGAGGTTATACAGTATTTGTCTTTCTCTGACTTATTTCACTTAGCATAATACCTTTAGGGTCCATGTGTTGCAAATGGCAGAATTTCCTTTTTTATGGCTAAGCAATATTTATATGTATACCACATTTTCTTTATTCATTTATCTATTGTAGGGCACTTAGGTTGCTTTTATGTCTTGGCTATGGTAAATAATGCTGCACTGAATAATGGGATACTGATATCTTTTTGATGAGTGTTTTCATTTACTTCAGGTAAATACCCAGAAGTGGAATTGCTGGATTATATGGTAGTTGTATTTTTAATTTTTTGAGCAACCTCCATACTGTTTTCTGTAGTGGCTGCACCAGTTTATATTCCAACCACATTCTCGCCAGCACATATATCGTGTCTTTTTGATAATAACCATTCTATCAGGTGTGAGGTAATAATACTTCATTTTGACTTTGATTTGCATTTCTCTAATGATTAGTGATGTTGAGTACCTTTTCTTATACCTGTTGGCCATCTGTATGTCTTTGGAAAAATGTCTATTCAGTTCTCCTACCCATTTTGTGATTCAGTTTTTCTCCTGAATTGTGAGATTCAGGATGTTGTTTTTTTAAGATGCTGTAAATTCAAGTAACTCAATTAGTACATCTTCTGTACTTAGCATACATATTAGTGTATTTAAACAAACTAATTAAGTAGACATATTGTGTGATTTCTGTATGTGAAATATCCAGAGAGAGTAGATCCATAGAGACAGAGCAGATTGGCAGCTGCCATGCTGGCGGAGGGCAGAATGGAAAGTGGCCACCTAATGGGTACAGGGTTTTCTCTTGGTATGCTAAAAATGTTTGCAACTAAACACAGGTGGTGGTTATATGACATTGCGAATGTACTAAATAGCACTGAATTGTACACATTAAAATTGTAATGTGAATTTCACTAAAGTAAAAAAAAAAACTATGAGGAATCTTTTGCATATTTGTTTAAATGATGTAGAGCCTCTCATTTAGCAGTAATCATTTACATCTATAATTTTCCTAAGTTTTAAAAGTCCTGTTTCATTGTTACCAATATACTTAAACTGTTTATGGTCCATTTTTAATAAATCATCTTAAAAATCTGCAAATTCTAACCTTTTGGTACTTCAACATAATTTAACTTTAGACTTTTAAAAGGGATCACATAGTGGAGGAAGTAAAAAGTTAATAAAAATTAGATCTTATTAGAACGTGTAATACCAGTTGATTGTCCCGGTTTGTTTGAGAAGGAGTTGTTCTGAGTCCAAAAGAATTTACATGTTTTTATAGAAAACTTGGGAGACTACTTTTAGAAAACTATAGAATACATAGTAATCTCACAATTCAGGACTCAACACTATTTTCATTTTTATGTATTTGTTTTGGGACCTTTCTCTGTGCATTTATTATAAAACTGGGATCATTGAATATTAACTCGTGACCTGTGCTTTTCATTTAATGAGAATTTTCATATTTTGTTAAATAGTACTCAAATAAAATTTTTATTGACCACATATTGATGATTATGTAATTTCACCTATTATTAAACATTTAGGATATTTCCAGCTTTTTGCTATTTTTAATAATGTTAACTTTAATCTACTTGTAGAAAAAATTTCGCCTATCTCACTTTTAAGATAAAGTCACAGAAGTGTAATTACTCTGTTCAGGGTTCCTGATACATATATCCAAATTGTCTACCAGAAGACTTGTGTCCCAGCAGATTAATAGCATTTATTTTACCATGTCTTCACAAATGTATCACTTTTTATCATCAACAATCTGTAAAGTGAAAGGCTTTTTTTACTCTTGCTTTTGATTACTGATGTGTTTTATCTACTGTGAACTTTGTATTCGTATCATTTGTTTTGTGTGAGGGGCTACTTTTAATTGATTTGTAAGACATCTTTACATACTAAGAACAATTATATTTGTTATGAAAATATTTATATATTTTTATATTTTAAAGATTTATGTAATTACTTTTTCTTTTTCCTCTCCTTACATTGACTTCTTGAGTAATATGTTTCTCCATGTTTGTTTTCCAGATGACTGTTTGATGACTTAATATTTCTGTTCACGAGTCATTGGCTTTCATTTCTTTAGTCTTCACTAAATGCTGATTCTATTTAATATCCCCTTCTACTGTTTGAATGAAGGAAGAATATTTCATGTTTTCACCTGCTATCCTTTGTCATAGAGGGGCAGAATACACACACACCATCATTATGTATATGTAAATAACTTTTGGTTGTTATATATACACATCTACTTTATCTCTTCTCTTTCATTGTGTCTAACCTATAGAAAGTACTGCAGTTTTCTTTGAATGCAATAATTCTTTCGACAAGGCTTTAGTTTTCCTCTATCTCCTCCTTTTTCCCCTACCCTATGAATCGATATGTTAAAGCTATCTGCGTGGAGTCAATATACAGCTGCAAAGAACAAAGGCATAGTGTTTGGTTTGTTAACTGTAGTTCCATCATAACTTCTCAACCGAGTAAGATGTTGCCAAAAAGTTGGAATAAGTAAGGACCTGGAAGGTGGGGGAGGCTAGAGGGGGTGGTACTTAGAAATTGCAGAGGTGCTTAACTGGCATTTAGGAGGCCATAGTTACAGGTGTATTTTTCAGAAGAATTGTTGTTGCTTTAATGCCAGGAGCATTCCCATTTCAGAAACAATATCTAACATATCCAACTGCCTGCTCTGATTATAGGATACAGATTTTAGGGAACTTTAGTTCTACTTGGGCTATTGAAGCTCCTTTGAGTACAGTAATATATACAGTAATAATGGTTATTTTTGTTTGTTTCATTTTCATCTCTTTCGTTCCAGATTTTACCTTCTAGGTAGCAAATTATTTAGTCAGGCTTATAGAATTTGAATAATTAAAAAGGACTTTGAAAAGGTTTACTATCTAGGCAAGACAGCTTCTAAAATTTGAGTCGAATGAGAATCTAAATTGGTTTTAAGGATTATAAAGAAAATAACATAAAATTTTTATCAGAGCCGTTTCGGTATTTAATGACTTGGGTAAATGGCAGTCTGCATTCACCTTTTTTCTCCCCACAAACCATTTGAGCAATTTTCCCAGTATGAAACTTTTAAAAATTTATCTAACTTAAAGATTCTTAGGTCTTCCTATTAAAAAGATCCTATAAGAAAAGCTTCACATTCCTGATTAAGTTTCAACTTTTAAACATTCTCTTGCAGGCAATAGTTACTACTTCTTCAATAACAGTTTAAAAGATAAAAGGTTTTAGCTTTCACATCACAAAAGTCAAGGGCAGAAATTGAAAATAAACAATTTGCAGTTATATCTACAGTGTTCTGGCTACAGAATGGTTCAGAATTAGTTATACTGGAAAATATATAGAATAAAACTTTCATAAATTATGATAATAGTCCTGTTTCTTTTGTGTACCTTTTCTTAGATTTCTTAGGCAAATTCCCAGTGTATTTAAGGCAAACGGTGGCCCTTTCCACCAAACCCCCAATTTATTCATTACTTTATTAGTAAAGAAAAATATAAAAGTTAAGGGTTTCAAAATGATGCACATTGTTGAAATTGTGAGCCTGTATTCTGTCTAGCAGCTGTCTTTCATCATTTTAGTTTACTTAGATAGGGGTACTTTTTAAGATTTCCCTTATAGCAAATATTAAATCTCCCAACTGCCTCAGTTGCTCTGGTTAAATATATTCATAGGATTGGATTATCTCCCAAAGACTACAATTTGTGTAAATCATTGGGCCTGAAACTTTTACCATGTTTTCAATTTTCACTGTTTTAATGTCAGTGTTTACATTTACATTCATACATGTATTCTTTAGATGATAAAATGAATATATAGTTAAGATATAAATTCCTTAGTTATCTAATATTAAATAGATTGAATCCAGTAAAAATTGAATCTTAACTCAGAGTGAAGAACTGATCTTACATTGTTGTATATTGACTCTGTACACTTATTGGCTCCTCACAGGAGACGCCTGTGCTTACCAGAATAGAAAAACAGAAGCGCAAAGAAGAGGAAGAAGAACGTCAAATTCTTCTCGCGGTGCAGAAGAAGGAGCAAGAGCAGATGCTAAAGGAAGAAAGGAAACGAGAGTTGGAAGAAAAGGTCAAGGCAGTGGAAGGTATGTGGTCTTTCCTACATAGTCAGGAAAGGTACATGTGGTATGGGAATAGCCCTCCTATAGCCAAGGCTACATCAAACTGGATTCTGTCATTATCAAAGGTTTTTCTGACAATTTCTCTCTTATAAATTGTATTCTGTCTTGTTTATTCAGCTGGATCCAATCTCATTGCCATTGCATTCCTACTACAACACTTTTATTTGTCATTTTGGATCTTTCAGTCTCTTGCTTGTTGTTCTTCTCTCTCCTATGTCCCTTGCATAGAATGGAGGGAGGTCTTATTAATGACAACTAATTTCACGAATAATTTTAAACACAAATGAAATTTTCTTAAGAAAATCTTAGAGATTTTTTTCAAGTATGATACAATATAAATCTAGAATATTATAATTAATATTAAGAGGGCAAGTAGTTTTTTCAGGTTTAGGTCCATCCAGGTCCTACTCTTTGTAATGGGATTTTTCTTTCATTTGTAGTTATAGCAAAGAATAACTATCTCTGGTTCTTAGGTAGCAGTTATATTTATAAGCCGAACCTAATATGTCCTGTGATAACAGATCATTTGGCTTGGTTGCATATCAACCAATATTTATTTTCTTTTAAATAAATGTATTGAACTTTTAATTTTTTTCAATAAAATAGCATAACGTGGATTTGATTATTATGCAGTGTTTCAATGAAAAATTTAAGTAAATTTTGGCTATAAAATTTAAAGTACTCTAGTCTTACTCTGTGCATTTTTACTTCCATTCCTGAGCTGTGACTTCTGTTTCTTAATAGGTTAACACTCTTCCCACTTTGATCATTTCTTCATTCTAAAATCCCTTAGCATATTTAATGTGCAGATTTAGCCTGTGCCACATTATGTAACATATCCAACTTGTAAAATTTTGCTTGTGTTTTATTTCCTGTGTTAGATTTAAATTCCTCAACGTAGTAATTATAACTCTTATTCATTTATATTTTTCAGTGGGATTCTGTAATTTTCAGTGGAGTTATTATTGGGTACACTATTGTCAGTTTGACCTTCAATTTATACAGACAGGTCCAAAACTTATTTTTGTGGCTCAGTTTCTGTACCTGTAAGATTAATAATACCTATGTTATAGATTGTTCTTCAAATCAAAAAATAGTTTTGAGCACCCATTCTGTGCCAGGCACTACTGTAGAAATATAGTATTAAATAAAATAAGTTACTTCTTTTATCTAGTTTACCTTCCAATAGTGGGAAGACAGAGAGTAAACAAATCATAGATAGTGGTAAGTGATCTGAAGAAAAATAAAACTGCTTTAGAGATAAAAAGTGGCATTTAAGTAAGATTGTCAAGAGAGCCCTTTCTGAAAATGTGACATTTAATAATGAAATGAGTGAGGGCGCTGCATGAATATCTGATGGGGAACAGCATTGTAGGCAGAGGGAATAACAAGTGCAATGCACTGAGATTAGGAATATGCAGCAAGAAGGCCAGTATGCCTGGATCAAAAATGAGCAAAGCAGGTAGAAGACTGGCAATAAATGAGTTCATAGAGGTAAGCCAGGGGTCATATTGCATAGTGCTGTGCCGACCTTGTTTGTTAGAAGGATTAAATGAAAAAAGGGATAGTCTTTGGCACACAGCAAGCTCACAAATGATAGTTTCCATGGAGGAAATGTGGAGGGAATTTTTACAAGGTATAAAATGGTTATGACAATAAACTTTCCTGACTCCCTGGCAGCTAAGTTTCAGTAAAGGGAAATAATAAGTTATGTGTTGATAGGAGAATTTTAATGTTTAAAACAGCTAACAGAGAAACAAACTTTTTGAGACATTAAATTCTAAGAGGATTTCATTATGTGGGTCTTTTTACCATAATGACTAATGTTTGTGAGAGCGCATCAGAACTTTTTTCATATTGTCATTTATTGTCTGTCTATAAAGGAAGCAAACAACTTATGAACTAATTTTGTTTGGTTATATGCTTCTATGCAGTGCTGGCAGTCAGTCACTAGTTTAGGGGTTCCCTGAAATTGCTGACAAAACTAATGTTGTGACATATAAGCACATATTTCAAAGGAGAGGGCTCACAGCTTTTCATTTGTTTAAAGAAATTTGAAAGGAGGGAAATGGATTAAGAAAAGTAGAAAGTATCACAAGGGTGGAAACAACTCAGATATCTGTCAGTAGATGAATGGATAAACATACAATGAATGGTACCACATTTCCATAAGTGTAGTGGTTATCATGTTCGTCTCACAAAATGTATATACAACATTTTTATTTAGCCTTAAATGGATGGTTATTTAGCCTTAAAAAGGAATGAAATTCTGATACATACTACAAGCCAAGAGGAGAGAGAAATAAGGAGATACTATTAAATGGGTACATAGTTTCTGTTTGGGATGATAAAAACAATTCTGGAAATGGATAATGGTAATAATGATTGCACAATAATTTGAATGTACCCAGTGCCACTTAATTGTATACTTAAAATAGTTTAAGAGGTTTATGTATTTTTTACTAAATTTTTTTTAAAAGGAAAGGCCAAACATACTGCTATTTATTAGTATTATCTTTGTATAAAAAGGATGTCACAAGACTAGATTATAACAAATATTCATGCTAAGTCAATATGGAAGTGGACATTATTGAGACTTTCTTATTCTCAATATGGTTGATACATAATCTAAAACTTCTTGCATCAAATACATGGTGGTTCTTTTTGTAATATATTGTCTGTATGTTATAATATTTTATCTAATATTGTGTAAATACTCTTTTAAAGAATACATCTGAAATCTTAACCAAGGAAGGAAATTTGTCAGGAACTATTTTTAGGGAGACTAAAAACAACAGTAAGTTAGTGGACAGACTATTAGGTTGAATTGCGGTCAATCTAGGGATTCTCTACCTCTCCCCAGGAATGATAACCATACATAAATCTCTGCAAAAGATGAATAGAAAATTAGACTTTGAAAGCACACAAGGAAGCACTACTGTGAACAATAGTTGGTACATGTACTAGACAAGAAATAAATATATTTAGCATTATCAGATATTAAAAAGAATTGTAAACATAAAAAATAACTTTGAAAATAACAGGCAGATTCAAGAGAAACACACAGCGTTCCTAGAAATGTAAAGTATGTTTATTGGAATAACAACTCAATAACTGGATTAAACTACTTAGGTACACATCCCCTGAGATAAAGATGGATGTGATGAAAGAAGTTACTTTTGCTTTAATCATTCAGTGTCTAGTCATGAAAACAAAACTAAAGTCTTTGGTTAAATGGAGTTAGAGAAAAATGTTGAAAGGGAGTTAACACCCCCTAAAGCAAGGAGAACAAAGGGAAGGGGATTGGAGTCATCAGAACCTAGAAGTTGAGGAAAGGCTCTGCAGAGTTGGATCCCAGACATTGGAAGATGGGGCATTGCTGGTAGCTCTGAAGGCAGGCATCAAGCCTGGGTCTGAGACTAACAAAAAAGAACCTGGTCATCAGGGTCAACTGTGTGTCCTCCGATGAAGATACTGGTATTTATTGCTGGCATGTTACTAAACAGCAACAGCAAGTGAACAAGAAAGAAATCTCTTCTGCTCTCATCTGGCCTCCCACTCTCCCTCTAGTACCTACTTCTGACAGACTTTATGGAACCGGCAGAGAATGGAGAAATGATGGATTTGGAACTGATGGAAATAGCTTAATAATGGACTCAGGTGGTGTGTAGCATGAATGATCCAATGTGGATCTACTATAAGTTTTAAAATGAAAGAATCAAAAAAATAGGGCAGAGAAAATAATCAGACATAATAGTTCAGAATTTTCTTGATTAGATGAAAAACAAATTCTCAGATTTAGAAAACAAGATGTAAACTAGATATAAATTACACGTAGATACATGGTGTACTGAATTTTAGAACATATGGCCACAGGTATTTAAAATAACCAGCTTGGAAAAGACATTTCCTTGAGAGGATAGCAGACTTGTCAGAAGCAACAATAGGATTCTGGAGAAAATGTGATTGGATTCTTCATTAGTTTCCTCGGGCTACCATAACAAATGACCATAAGTAGGTGTTTTAAAACAGCAGAAATTTATTCACTGACAGTTCTGGAGACTAGAAACTTGAAATCCAGATGTTGACAAGGTCACACTCTCTGAAGGCTCAGGCAGAATCCTTCCTTGCCTCTTCCAGCTTCTTGTGATGCCTGGCATTCCTTGGGCTGTGGTGATTTCTAAAAACTGAGAAGGGGATTTCCTTAACCAGGATCTGGAAGAAAAAATCTAAGTAGACATTCTATCTAATGGGGAGACGTAAGAACTATTCCCTTTCAAAGTCCAGAAGAAAGCAAAGATTTCCTCTGTCTTTCCTTCTGTTCCACATTGTATTGTTCTGTAAGGATTTCTTCTCTAGAAAGGAAAAAGATGTATGTGTATAAATGTATTGTTTTAAAAAGATAGCACAACCCATAGCAAGGAGAATTTGTAACATTCAGATGGTAGTCTCTAAATATAATTCCCCTCCAGAAGGAACCAAGTCTCTGGAGAAATGACTGATTCCAGTCCTTTAGCAGTAAAAATATAAAATGAACTTAGACCCTTAAACAGAAAACATGGAAACATAAAAGACTACTGGAAGTTGTATTTAAAAACACAGAAGCCAACTGTAAGGGACTTTCACTTGCCAAAACGAGACATTTTGAGCATTGAAAAAATAAAACCTCAATAGATTTAAAAAATATCAAGTAAACAAATTTATAAGTTCATAATGGTAGTATTTTTTTAAAAATCAGCAATCATTTTAGTTAAATGGGATAACTTGGTATTTTAAAAATTGATAAAATAGAAGGAAAGAAGCAGTTTTGTTTTCTTTACGGACGGTATTTCAGAATATGCAAATAATTGCCGAGGAAAATAAGGATTTGTTTAATGAATGTAGCAGGAAAAATAGAATAACAAATGATTAAAAAGTGGGTCTAAGCAAAGCTGTTTTCCACCAAGTTTTCTGGGCACAATTAAGCCTTAATGCCATAAAGTAGAGATGTGCTAACTTCTGTAAAGGGCCAGATAGTAAATATTTTAGGCTTGGAGGCCATACAGGGTTGCGCTCTCATAAAACTTCATTATTATGAAAGCAGTCAGCTAGTTGTGCTACATTCTGTAGTTGGCTGTTTTGCAAACCCCTGCCCTAAGGCATCTGTTGCATGCAATGAATTAACTTCTCTCCTGTGCATCCTTAGAGGTACTAGATATATACATTGGAATTATTGAGAAAACAGTCACACAAATAATGTTCTCTGCAGCTTAATTCTGTCTTGGAATTCTGTTAATCTTTAGGTTAAAGACTGAAAGGGAAGGATCAGGTTAACACTGATTTAATTTAACATCACAGGAAGATAACCAGATAATTATGTCTCCTGATATAATGAAAAAGAAAGTATACAGCATCATCTGTGAAATAATATTGCTCCCCCTCAAATAATCAAACCTGTTTGTCAGACCAGAGCCTCTAGATAAAACTGCCAGTTTTACAAGAACACATTAACACCACAATAAGGATACCATCAGCTAAATCCATAATGTGGAAAATTCTATAAAGACAAAATGACGTTTCTCCCACATATAAATTGGAGGTGGGGGGAGCACTGTTAGAAATTCAACTATATTTAAGAAACGTGTCAACCACGTGCAGTGTATGAACCTTTCTGGATTTGTTTCGAATAAACCAACTTCTAAAAAAATATATTGAATGTGAGAAATCGGACCCTGAGTCAGTGTTTGATAATTAGTCATTTTAAGTTCCTAAAATTTATACAGAAAAGCAGAGGGCCAAGGATAGCTAAGATAATTTCCAAAAACAATATGGTGGGAACACTCATTCTAACAGATAAAATAAAAGTTACAGTGAATGAAAGCATGGTATCGGCATATAGAGTAGATGATGAGAGCAGTTAAATAGAATACCTAGAAACAGACCTTGGGGGAGAATGCGGATTCTTCAGTAATGGTGCCAGTACAACTGCTTACTGATAGGGGTAAAAAAAATAACATCTCTTGCTTCTCGGATAATAAGTTCTAGATAGACTAAAGGCCAAAACTTTTTTGAAGAAAATACGGGTGACTATCTTCAAGATACTGAAATTTTAAAAAATTTAAGAACAAAGAGTTGAAACTATAAGGGGAAAGAGATTGATGTATTTTACTACATTAATTGTTGAAAAACGTGGCAAAAACACCATAAACAAATTTTTAAATCATCAGGTAGAAAAAGATAACTTTAACACATAATCAGCAAGCATTATTTAAAGCACTTCTCCAAATTAGTAAGAAATCCAAAGCCCACGGGGAAAAAAGGCAAAGTGTATAACAGGAAATTCACAGAAGAGGATGCTGAATGGCCAGTAAATTGAAAATGTATTCATTTTTCACTCCAATCAGGAAAATGAAAATGAAATCATCAGAATTCCATGTCATACCTATCAGTTTGGCAGAATGCTAACATTTTATCATACCAAGCAAGGGTGAGGTAACTCATCACTGTTGAAAGCATGGCTTATAACGCTTTGGAAATCACATTGACGATGCCTGATAAAGTTAACATATATACTCTATCTGGCAGTTCCACTGCTGGGTTTGTATTTTAGAGGACTTTCACACATGTACAAGAAGACATGTTAAAAGAATGGTCATTATCATGTTTACAAAATGCAAAAAAATGCAGAAACTTTAAAAACTTTAAATGTTAAGCTTTGACAATTTGGTAGATACACGATATTTAGTCATAATTTTCTTTAAGCTAATAGTTCTCTTTTTAAAAATTTATAAAGTGTATAGCAAAGTGCTTTTGATTAGTTAAAGCAGATATAGATTACTCTAAATTTATAAATGAAAATAATCTAGAAACATAAAAAAGTCAAATGGATCTTGACAGGGAAAACAGTTTGCAGAATCATATGCTCGTAGCAGTGCAGAATCATATGCTCATAGCAGTGGAAAACACAGGACCTATCCCTTAGGAAAAGAAAACAAGGTCTCTCCTAGCTTCTCCCTTCGTTGTGTCTTACCTGTTCTTCATCTCCCTGCCTTTTATCTTTACTCCTGAACTTCCTGTTCCCTACTGGCAATGAGTGCCCCATCAGGTTAGTAGTAGAATGGCAAGTGTGTGTAATGGGTGTGGCTGTGAGCCAGAAAAAAATCATCCCTGCCTTCCAGCTCCATTCCAGTTCCAGCTGGCATCTTTGCCTTGTTCCCAGCCAGACTTATTACTGCCACTGGCTTGGTAGGGGCCAGCTGCTAGTGTGGGGGTGGGATGGAGAGCAAAGACAATTGATGTGCATGGATGCTTTTATAAATCCAGAACCTTGAGAGCTTGGATATGCATATAAAGTCCTGTATGTTTAGATTGAGAGGCTGGTCCTAAAAAATGTGTGTTGCTTTTTTGAAAGAGAAGGAAGGAAAGGCCTCCAGTAGTCAAAAAAGGATAATCCTCATTTAATCTTATATTTTTTCTTTTTTCTTCTAATTCCATTTTTCTTCAGCCTTGCTCTTTCTCTCCCCCGATCCTAATGCCTACCCTACTGCCTTCATCCCCCAAGTTGAACTCAGTATGACTGAGAGGAAACAATCCCACTCGTTTTTATAAACGAGTTTCATAAAGCATTCATCTATAGGAATTATCCTAATTACCAGAAAAGAGGCTAGCAAAGGAAGCACAAGTAATTTCATGATACTACTTTGATTTCTCTCACAATTACAATTGCTAAGGAGATTTACTCAACGTCTAGTTAAGTAGAGAGTACTTAACTCACTTGTACTGTAATCCTTTGTGTTAATTGTAGATCGAGCCAAGAGGAGAAAGCTCAGGGAAGAAAGGGCATGGCTGCTGGCTCAAGGGAAGGAGCTCCCCCCAGAACTTTCCCATCTGGACCCTAATTCCCCCATAAGGGAAGAAAAAAAGACTAAAGACCTGTGAGTATTTAATAATACAGTAGCAACCTGTAACATTTATTAAGCATTTGGGCATTGTGCTAATAGTACTTTCCTCATTTAATTCTTAAAACAACCCTGTATGGTAGCTAATAGTGTTCATGAGCTTCTTGTTCTACTCTATGCTCTTTGGGATTGTTATTCTTTATATCACAAAAATAGACATTGGAGTGAAATAAAACCTGGAAAAGAATGCACTATTAAATAACCATTATAGGGTCATAAATTAAGTTCTGGATCATCTAAGCTACCACCATCATTTTATAGATGAGGAAAGTGGTATTCCCTTTTTTGCCGAAATGTGCTCTCATTTTAATAATTTTCTGAGGTGTTATCAGTGTTACAAATGTATCCTTTAAAAAATTATTGGGACTGTTCTAAAACTGGGTGTAATCAGCTGTGTCTATGTTTGAATTAAGAGAGCTAAAGAGAAAGGTGGTCAAAGTTATTATTAATTTCTTATGTTGTTATTTACAGCTTTGAGTTGGATGATGATTTCACTGCCATGTATAAAGGTCAGTTCCCATTCTCAACTGTCGTGTTTCTGGTAAAAGTACTTCTATGTGAGTGTGTTAAGCTCTCCTCTTCGGCTCTCAGTTCTAGATGTGGTAAAGGCTCACAAGGATTCCTGGCCCTTTTTGGAACCTGTGGATGAATCGTATGCCCCAAACTATTACCAGATTATTAAGGTAGTTATACCTACTATGCAGTTAAACCTACCAGAGTGTATTTTGCTCTCTTGCTTTTTGTTGTTTTTTGTTTTAAGTTCATCCATTGTTCCTTGAGAGTCAGAATTGCTGGTTATATACCAGGCTTTTGAGCAGCTCGTAACAGCATGATTCCTTTGCCTCATAAGGACTATGAGACATTTGCTCTAGCATATCGTGATTCAATGAATCCTGTTTTAGGTTCCCATGGATATTTCAAGCATGGAGAAGAAACTGAATGGAGGTTTATACTGTACCAAGGAGGAATTTGTAAATGACATGAAGACTATGTTCAGGAATTGTCGAAAATATAATGGAGAAAGTAGTGGTACGTGGGAAGGGGTTGTTGTGCGTGCACATGGGCTGTACCATTAGAACCAAGAGTAAAATACCTTCTGTTTTAGAAATATACACTCTATTGATTCAGACTTTTCTTTAGGACTATAAAAAGAATGTGTATTAAAAGCCATGGGATTGGCCATTCTAACCACTTATACAGTATGTGCCAGGACTCTCTCCTGTATCCCACACAACAGGAAAGTGCAGCTTGTGGCAAACTGCTCAGTTTATTTCTCATCCATTAGACCAGTCTGGGTCCAGTTTGTGCTGTGCCTCCTTAATACAGACAGTTAACCACAGATGAAACTGAATCTAGATGGAGCTGATTCTTAAATCATCTTGAGAAGTATATACCAGAGTAGCTCTCTATAACAAAGTATATGTGACTCCAGATAGAGAAACTTGGAACTATTTGTGTGTGAACTCTGAATGCCTTAGTTTAAAACCTAAGCAGATTCAGTGGTTATATTTAATATTTTGAAGCTTAATTAAATTTTTACTGATTTAGGGTAATGGTCCTAGAGTCACTGTCCCTGCCATACAGCCTGGAAACCTTTTAGGACAGAAGCCATGTCTTCATCTTGTGTACATAGCTCTGCAACATAATATGCACTCAAGTTGAATTAAGCTCAAGAGTTTACCCCGATAGCATCTTTTGTTTAGTAGTAGTATAATTGTCTTTTGATGCCTGTAAAAGCTATACATGGAGGTCAATCCTTGTATCTTCCTATAGAGTATACCAAGATGTCAGATAATTTAGAGAGATGTTTCCATCGGGCGATGATGAAGCATTTTCCTGGTGAAGATGGAGACACAGATGAAGAATTTTGGATCAGAGAGGATGAAAAGCGGGAGAAGAGACGGAGTCGGACTGGGCGAAGTGGTGGAAGCCACGTCTGGACCCGGTCTAGGGACTCTGAAGGACCCAGCAGGAAACAGCAGCCCGTGGAGAATGGAGGAAAGTCATTGCCACCTGCACGCCGAGCTTCCTCTTCTGGGGATGATCAGAGCAGCAGCTCCATGCAACTCCCTCGGGAGGTGGGCTCCTCAAATGGCCGAGGCCTTCCTCGTCCCCTGCATTATGGTGGGATGCCTAACCAGGCACCCCTTTTAAACCAGATGGTAAGGGATAGCTGAAATTCTGCTGAGGTTTCCCCTAGTTGGTGAATTCAAAGGAAAGTAAAGCCTTCAATTGGTTCCTCTTCCATAATAATTGCACTGTGTGTAGATGATTTTTTTTTTCTCCCTTCATCTGTCCTTCCTTTATTCTTCCTTTATTTTAAATCCTCCTTTCTCTTAGTCATTTGAACCGCACATTCTCGATGTGGGCAAAAATTGGGATTAAAAAATCTCAAGTCTTTTTATGTATAAAGCACAGAGGTACCTACAATACGTAAGATATACAACGTATCTGTGGTTTTAAATTTTCATGGTGGGGGGCAATGAAGGGAAAAAATTGGCTAAAAAGGCTCTTGGTGATAAGGGAGCAATAATGAGAGGTAAACACCAGTTTGTCTCTCCTGGAGAAGGAGATTGCTTTGGGCTCGGAAGTCAGTCCTGATCTAGGTGAGCCCCTGTGCTAGCAGTCTTCCTTTTTTTGGCACTCTTTGCTGAGTGTTAGTGGTCTATGTTATGTTCATCTTCAGGAAAGTCCTCATTTTCATTCTTTTTTTTCCCTCCTCCTCCTTGTCTTTACTCAATACCCTACAGAGGCCGACAGTACCAGGAACTTTTGGCCCCCTTCGAGGATCAGATCCTGCCAACTTATATGTCTCCTCTAGAGTCCCAGAACCACACCCCGGAGATCCTGTACAGCAGCATCAGCCTTTTGCCATGCAGGTAAGCAGCCTACTCAGAATGTGGAGGTACAAAGGGTTGCACAGGTAAATTTCAGCAGTACAGTCTATTCCCAGGTTAAATTTCATTCATCATCTCCTATTCTGTAGAGTCTGTTACTTAGATGAAAGACATAACAAGGTAAACCTTATTCTTTGGCTTTAATGAATGCTGCTGTCTTTTCTTGTTGCCAGGCTCCAGCTGGAATTAACAGCCACCGAGGACCCAGGCTAGGCACACCCGAAGAGAAGCAAGTGCGTGGGGGGCTGATGCACCTTTCTAACATGGGCTCACATCCTGGATCCTTGCCTCTTGGGCAGATAAGTGGCCCCAGTCAGGATGGAAATATGTATCCACCAACTCAGTTCCAACCAGGATTTATTCCTCCCAGGCACGGAGGGGTTCCGGCCCGGTCCCCAGACTTCCCTGGAAGCTCAGAAATTCCTCCCAGCCACATGTACCGATCATACAAATACCTGAATCGAGTACACCCTGCTGTCTGGAATGGAAACCATGGTGCTGCAAACCCAGGACCCTTAGGGCCAGATGAGAAGCCCCCTATGGGGCCAGGGCCTTCTCAGACTCGTACTCTTGGTCACATGATGGATTCCCGAGTGATGAGACCACCTCTTCCTCCAAACCAGTGGACTGAACAGTCAAGCTTTCTACCTCATGGAGTTCCTTCTTCAGGGTATATGCGAACACCCTGTAAATCTGGTGGACATCGGTTACAGCCACCTCTAGCACCAAGTCCTCTATTTGGAGCACCGTCCCAGGTTCTGCGAGGGGTGCAAGGAGGGGACTCCATGATGGACAGCCCAGAGATGATCGCCATGCAGCAGCTCTCCTCCCGCGTTTGCCCGCCAGGTGTGCCTTACCACCCCCAACAGCCTACTCCTCCCCATTTACCTGGCCCTTTTCCACAGGTAGCTCACTCGACATCAGCAAGTGTACCAGCTCCCAAGCCTGCCTTGGGGAACCCTGGGAGGACACAGGATAACAGCGAAACACAAGAGCCTGAGAATGACCGAGGTAATTTATACTGTTACTTTTATATGACTTCTAGCCCTTGAAGCTTCATTGCTGAATAATCTTTTTACACAAGCCAAATGTAAACTGGTTTCTAGCCTCTTTCTTGAACTACTCAGGGGTGAGCCAAGCATGGTGATGTTTTTGGTCCAAAGATCCAGAAGGATTTCTGGTGACAGTAATTGCCACACAGATGTAGAACTATGCCAGGCACTCTTTTTTGAGGCTCTTACATATATTAACTCATTTAATTCTTGGAACAAGCCTTTGAGGTAGCTACTATTATTAGCCTTGTTTTTACAGATGGAAAATACAAGACACAAAAATATTAGATTATTTGCCCTTATCTACCTAGTAAATGGTGGAATTGAGGTTTGAACCCATACAGACTGGATCCGGCATCCCTGTTGTTAACCACTGTATCATCAAACTGCCTTTAAAATTTCCTACCTTGCAAGTTGTAAGTTTAGAGTATATCACCTGAAGTCTGATCATTTCTATCTTTTTATTCCTTGGATATATATCAGTATCTACTAAGAATGAAAAACAGTGAGATCTAGCAAATCTTTAAGGAATTTCTTAGAAATACCATTCAAGAGAGTAAACCTGAATCTGGAAGAAAAGATGAGAAGAATCATCTATGTGTAATTAGTGCTTATTTCTAGGATAGATGCCTGGCATGTATTGGATGTAATTTTCTTCAGCACATGACTAAAGAATAGAGACTGGACTTTTATAAAATAGGATGAAGGTTTCATATAAAGTTGGCAGTACGTCTAGAACTCAAGCTGACTTTTTTTAGTGTTTCTTTGGAGGAAAGGCCTACTTTATGAACATCGGCTCTAGCAGTGGAGTTCCACTGATGACACCTTGGAAAAGGCGATTTGTTAGTTGCCGTGTTTTATGTTGAATGAATGATAAAATGCAGATTTTAATTTTCATTGTCAACTGGCACCTTTGATCTTTATAGCCAATTATAGTTTATCAGTAGCCTGGGATCCTAGTAGAGTAGATCTTTAAAAGTTGTTGTGAATCCTTAATCTTGTCCTTAAGATCTATTACCAAAATTATATTTTGACCACACCTGGACAATTACTCTGTCCTACTAGAAAGAATATAATAATAAGACTGAGGTTATAATTAAGCATTTGAGTCTAGTAATTTAATTTCATTGGATTTATTAAATTTCTCTAATAGGTAAAAGATGGTTTTTGAGTTTTATGTTCTAGGCATCTTGTTTTCAAGACATTCAGACAAGATGAATGTTTTCATTCAACAAATATCTGTTTCCCATTTTGGGCAGTTATTGAGGGTGTGCTGTGGGACAAAACAAAGTCCCTGCTTCTGTGGAGCTTATGTTGTGATGGGGCACAAGTCAGGGAACCGGCCTTCCTATACCCATCATGCCCTGGTCTCCTCATTGTGTCAAGTTTTAGAGCCTCCCAGCCTGGTCTGCAATCCTAGTGACAACCATACCTTCCTGCCATACTCCACATGCATCTGCTTATAGTCTGTGAGCCATGAATCATTTCACACCCTCTCACTAACTGAAAGTGACAACACAGGAAGAGGGAGGCAAAGATATCTCCATTCTTTGGCAAACCTTATGAGTAGCTATAGAGGTACTAGGTTTTACCTCTTGGTCTATGAAAGTAAGTGTACAAGGGCCTTGACATCTTGACCGCTTTCAGGGACCCTCAAATTTTCTAGCCAAGGCATAAATGACCACACATCTACCTTAACCCTGACTCCCCTTATCTGGCAGCTTATTATGTTCTTTTCATTGCCACCTCCATCAGTATTGTCATTTCACCTACTAAATTGTTACTTTGTTCTCCATTTTTCTTGCAGCAGATCCCTTGCCTGGGCTTGAGGAGAAGCCACCAAGCGTTGGTGCTTCAGAGGGGGTGTACCTCAAACAACTACCTCACCCTACGCCTCCCCTGCAGACCAACTGTACCAGGCAGAGCTCGCCACAAGAAAGAGAAGCAGAGCATACAGAGCTCAAAAGTGACTCCTCAGCATCTGGTGACAACTGTCAGGCAATACAGGGCAAGAATACCTGGCCCTCGGAGAGCAGCTACACCAGCCCAGCAGCCCAGGGATGTATGAGGGACCTCTCCACTCTGGCAAATAGAGGGGCTCTCCCGGAAAATGGTGTGATTATGGAAACACCCACTTGTGGATCAGAAGGGAAGGGCCTTGGTGGTAGTGGTTCAGAAAAGCTGCTCTGCCCCAGAGGCAAAACACTGCAGGAAACAATGACATGTACAGGACAGACCCCAGCTGTGCCTCCCAATCCTGACCCTAATTTGATGGGAGGCACTGTCAGCCAGTTTTCTCCCTTGTACATGCCTAGCCTGGAATACCCAAATTCAGCTACACATTACCACATCAACCCAGGCCTGCAAGGTTTGGGTCCTGTGATGGGAGGTAAACCCTCAGTATCACATCCTCAGCATTTTTCCCCTAGGAGCTTTCATTCTAACAACCCTCATTCTGGAGTCTTTCCCCGGTATCGCCCTCACCAAGGCATGAGGTATTCCTACCAGCCACCACCTCAGCCTTCCTACCATCACTATCAGCGAACTCCTTATTACACATGTCCACAGGGCTTTTCTGACTGGCAGAGACATCTCCATCCCCCAGGAAGCCCAGGTGGGCCCCCACCTAGTCAGCCTACTCCTCCAAGGCCCCTCTTCTCAGATAAGAATGCTGTGGCTAATCTACAAGGCTGTGAGACACTGCATGCTGCCTTAACTTCCCCAACCCGAATGGACGCGGTGGCCGCTAAGGTCGTCTCAGCTGATGGGCAGAATCCTGGTCCAGAGGAAGAGAACCTGGATGAATCTATGGAGAGGCCAGAGAGTCCCAAAGAATTTTTAGACCTGGACAACCATAATGCAGCCACCAAGCAACAGAGTTCATTGACAGCCAACGAGTATCTTTATGGAACTCCTCCTCCTCTGAGTTCAGGGGTGGGGTTTGGTTCATCTGCTTTCCCACCTCATGGTGTGATGCTACAAACAGGGCCTCCTTATACACCTCAGCAGCCAGCCAGTCATTTCCAGCCCAGGGCATATTCTTCCCCTGTGGCTGCTCACCCACCTCACCATCCAGTGGCTGCCCAGCCCAACGGCCTCTCTCAGGAGGGCCCCATCTACCGCTGCCAGGAAGAGGGCCTGGGCCACTTTCAGGCTGTAATGATGGAACAAATTGGCACTGGAAGTGGAATAAGGGGATCTTTCCAGGAAATATACAGACCATCAGGGTAAGATTGCATTAATTTTTTTTCCCTGGGGGAAAAAAAATAGATGTTAGTTTTAAAAAGAAAAATGTCCTCAGGAATAAAGATAAATTTTAGTGGTCTAGGACCAAGAAAAGCCTGTGAATCGATATTGGAGACTTAATAGAAATGTATTTAGCCTTGGAGTCTGATTTTTATCTTTGGCATTTTTCCACCCCCTCTGGTATTGCCCTCACCAAGGCAAATGGAAATTGTCATTTAAACGACTTTAATTAGCTTTTGGTATTGGAAACACGATAGCCACCGTTTGTGGGATGGTGGCAGAGGCTTCAGCATTTCTGCTGAGGGCAAAGTAAAATAGGTCCCTCAAACCCTGGGGGCATAGGAGATTATATTCAGGTTTTGTTCCTCATCAAATTATGAAGCCTAATCATAAAACTAATACCATCAGTGTGTCCCCCTCCCCAGTGACAGTCTAAGGAGACCCTACCTCCAAACACTCCCCCCATCTAACATTGTCATATTTGTTTTCTACCTCTGTAAATGCTTGTTTTATTTCTTTTCTTTGCCTTTTTTCCTTACCATTGGAAAGTAAATTGTAGATTGTGACCCTTACACCTGAATACTACAGCATGCATCTTCTAAGAATAAGGACATTCTCCAAACTTTTTATCACACCCAAGAAAATAATATTAATAGTATCTAACAGAGTCCTAATTTCTCTGTTTGTCCCCAAAATGTCTTTTATAGCTATATTCTTTGTTTTATTTTGATTTTTTTTTTTTGCCTCATCCAGGATCCAGTTATGGTTCATGTAGTTATATTTGCTTGTTCTATCTGTCTAGTCTCTTAATTTACAACATTTCACCCCATCATTGTATTGTTTTCTTTTGTTTTCCAAAGAGTCCAGGCAGTTCTCATGTAGTGTCCCAAATTCTGGAATTCTTCTCATTGTTTCTTCATGTTTGAGTCAAGCTAAACACTTTTTTCAAGAACACTAAATAGTAGGTGTTGTCGTGTACTTACTGCATCATACCTAGAGGCACATAATGTCAGTTTTGTTGGGACAAAATATCGATGATTCCAGGTTTGATAACCTGGCTAATGAAGGCAGTTTCTGCCTGAGATTTTCATGAGTGAAGTATCTTTTTTCTTTCTGATTAATATGTCTTCATTAATTCTTACCTGTCCGTCCCTTGCGGCTGTAGAATGCAGATGCGTCCAGTCCAGTCACAGCCCTCTTTCCCAAAGACCCCAGCACCAGCAGCATCACAGGAAGAGCTGCCACCACATAAGCCCCCAACACTTTCTCTTGATCAGGTAAAAATTACCAAAAATTACAGCTCCTTTTGTTCCTCTGGGTGGTAGGAAATAAGTATATGTAGTCTCGATGCGTGGTTGGGAATCCATGCATGTGGAGAGCCAGCTTCAGCCACACATGCATTTTTGACTGCATCATGGGTTGGTGGCCTTGACCACCTTGTTGCTCACGGGTCACAACTGTATATGATTCCATTGCTGTTCTGGGAACATCTGTACGGTGTCCTGTTTATGCAGGAACTTTTCCTGGAAAATGCTTCATGTCCTACAGGCTGTCGGGTAAAAAGGGCCCCTCGGGCCTTGTGCTCCCAGCTCATTCAGCAGCGGGAAAGCTCAAGAGATAAGGTGGAAGTGGCTTCTCTAGTATTGCCACACATTTCTTTTTCTCATTCTTAGGATAACCAGCTGTTTGGGAATTATTTAAATCTTTTATTTGATACAATCCTTTGTCTGTTTTTATACTTCCCACCTATTGCGTTTTAGGGAGACTAGATAGTCAGGATTTTAAAATAATAAGAGCTTTTGAATGCAGCTTCTGTGCCAAGCACTGTGCTAAAGAGCTGCTACATGCAGTATCTTATTCAGTTTTTTCCTCATCCTCCGTGAAGTAATTGTCAGCAGCAGCATTATCATTCCTTCACATGCAAGAAGTCCTACAGCTACTGAGTGATGGGGCTGAGGTTTGACTTGGGAGATCCAGAACTGTAGAGTTCACCCTCTGGAAGGAAACTGTGGCTGATTAAACAAAATCAAGCCATTTTCCCAGATGAGAGGAACCATGTACTATAAGCTCTTTGACTAATTTAATTTTTTTAACAGTTAACACAAATGTGAATTTTATTTAAATCATCCATGTTTTGCTTTTCTCAGAGCTAGTCCAAGGAGGCAATAACCCCCAAGGAAACGGATAGCTGCACATGAAGACTGGAACATGGAGAAATTGGGTGAATGATCCTCACCCATCTCTATCCCTGTCACCGCCGCACCCCTTCAAAGTGCACCGCTTTATGCCATCCAGGAGCCGAGCCATTTCCGGAGCCCCAGAAGCACACTCCATAGATAACTAACATAGAGCTTGCAAGGGTCCTGGGTTGGGGATCTCTTGCATAACTAATAATCAAGAACAAATGAATTGGAATTAGTAATGGCTTTTCAAGTCCTGAGACCCTTGTTCAGGAAAAAGCATCTAAAACTTGGGGGAGGGGCATACTTAAGAATGGGGCGGTGCTTGTAAACTTTCATGAGCAGCTAAACTCAGGTATATATTTGGGGAAGGGACTACTTGTAGTATTAATGTGTTCGGAGCTGGGTCCAGTTTACAGAATTTTCATGTTGCCTTTTAAAATAATTTTTGTTGTTGGTGGTGAATGTATTGTACATAGACTGGGAAGGGTAAGTGGGGATCTAGAAGAAGCAGAAGTCCTAACTGGTGGGCACACAGCACCGGAGTGATCCTTATCTGTTTACAGTCTCATCACACTGAACACTTTTGGAGCTGGAGAAAAGGGTAGGAAAGGTTTACTCTTATGTCACTGCATTTCCTCAGTGGCCAGCTGTCCTTTAAGAGTTAAAGTCCTTTCCAGTCACCCCAAGAGAGCACCATCACACTGCCCTGCTGACCGTTTAGTTTTTAGTTTCTCAGTTCAGAGAGTGTGTTCTCATGACCTTCCAAAAGTTTCAGCCCAGAAGACAGACTGCCCTCTCAGCTGGTGGCCCAGATTCTGGACTGAGAGCAGTGCCCTTCCTGATTTGCCACCAGCCCTACCAGATAGTCGTAAACCAATATCAGGAATTGGAATCACTAGAGTGTTTTGCTTATTAGAAGGTAAAATGAATCGTCCTCTTCACAGACCTGCCAGGACTGTGATCTGGACGGAATCACAGCTTTCTGGCACAAATCACATTTTGTGGAAGTGACTACTCAGGTTTGTATATGTTAGTATCAATAAAGAAATTGCACAGTTTTGAATAGGAAAATGTAATCTATAGATTTACAGTTTGAATTTAGGAATATTTTGGTTTATATAGTTTTTATTCATTTTAAGTGAATCATAGGAAAATAAGTCATGGTGATTTAAAATAGCTGTCAAGAACAAGTTCTCGGGAATCATTCGTTGTATATGTGATAGGAAGCAATCTCACAGTATTAAATTACTTTTTTACAGGTTTAGAAGTAAATTACACTGGATTCGCCCCGTTTAACATTCTGTATTTTATTTTAGCTGAGATGCCACCAAAGTTAGGACTTGTGAATATCCCACAAAGAAGAAAAGAAAGCAAAGAAAATGCCCTAAAATTACAGGATTTTGTAAAGAATAGCATACTTTTAAGCATGCCTTTGGGATAGTAGAAAAGCTACCATATTTTATTAATCTGTTCTAGTTACTTATAAATTCAACTGTGCGAGGGGCCAGTAGAACCTTCCCCTCCAGTTCCAGCATCCTTGATGAAATGTGGAACTGTCATGTTTAGAGTTTGCTAAACACATGCTATCGGTAGGAAAAGAAACAAATTGGAAACATTCATGTTATACAAATGGACCCCAAGACTTACCAGCTCCAGTATAATAGAAATTCATACATGCAAGTGAGGGCTTGTTGAGCTGGCAGTGTGCCTCACAGCTCAGGCAGAACTGAGAATTGGGTAGAGAACACAGATATCTCTAAGATATGATGCACAACAATACGAATTTTTCTCTAACACACTTTAAATTTGGTGTGCTTTTAAGTGGAATGAGTTTTGAGGCTATGTTCTCATTTGATTCTCATTCTTGTTAGAAACCTATCATGGGCATAATTTGGTTTACAAGAGTGAAGAAGTCAGTTTATCCCTGCAGGAAGAACAAATTAAAAGGGTTGTGGACAGATCTCAGTCAGCCCTTGAGCTAGTTAGTGTAAGCTAACATGATGGAAGCATTACTACTTCTGTTTTTGTATATGTGCAAATGCAGGGAGGAGGAAAAGACCACTGGTCTTTACAGCTAGTTTGGGCCTAGCTAGACCTTGTCTAGGCCCAGAGCATTCTGCCACTGACAGCCTTTCTCTTTTCACATTAAAGCTGGTTAGAGTGAGGCCCCGGGCTCCTTCCTCAACTAAGAGCACAGTAACTGTAGGGCCTCTTCCCTGGTGCTAAAGCTGTATGGGTTGTTTTGTGCTGAACACCCTGGGATGTGAGTAGGAGTGGGCCAGAAGCAGTAGTTGGTTGATCTGTACCCTTTCCTTCCACCATGGTGGCATTTGAGCAGCTGTGTACACACTGCTCAAGATAACCCTTTCTCCTCACTCTCCCGACCCTTTTACCCCCATTACCTGTTGTTAGAGAGAAGCTGTGAACAATATAGGAAAAAATTAGTAAATTCTTTTTTCCTAATCTCCCTTCTTGGTATGTAGAGAGGTGAGAAAATAAGGAAGAAAATAAATTGAACTACTGTATTATAACACTGTGAACGAGGGCAACAGAAACATTGTCAGCCTTGTTGCATCCCGTGTGGAGATTTGGTTATGCATTACAGGTATCAGTGCTTTAGCCCTTGTCTGGTACATCCTGAGCTTTTACTGGTCTTGAAGTATAGATCTGCTAGAAGCCGTCAGGAGCTGCAAGATTGCAGGAACACGTGACAGCGGATTGCTGTAAATTGGTAATTTAGTCATTCTCCAAGCAGGCTCTTTTTTTCTCTCTTTTCTCTCTCTTTTCTCTCTCCTCTAGAACTCTCTTTCCAAGTGTCTTAAGCAGATGCATTTGCCATCTTCTCCATTAGTGAAAGACAGTTGTGTGATGTACAGTAGCGTATAAGGAGATCCGAAGGAGATGTGCTCCCAGGCTAGAACGACTTGCACCCTGTGGATAACTGCAGCCTGGTCAGAGTGGCGACTCAGCGGTCCCCAGGAGAGGCAGCACACTCCGTGGATAATGAGAAATAGTTTCACACCTATTTGATTTTTACTGTAATGGCTAACCTTTATTAGAGTTTTTATAAGTTAGAAGCTCTTTCCCCAAGACCCAAGAGAAATGAAAGATCCAGAAAGAAAAGGAAAAACTCTTGTAAGGTTTCTGGTTTGGGGTTTTTTTCCCCCTCAAAGTCTCTTCATTTAAAAAGTAGCTGTTGGCTAAAGTTTATTACATTTGATGCATGTGGATAATAAATAAGGACAAAAATATGCATATTCTTAAATAATTTTTTCCATACTACTTTTTAAAAAGCCACTCCTCTTCTCCTTAACCAGGTTGGCTTAGTTCTTCTGATAGTGCACATGAGCTTCTTAACAGTTTATTCTCAGTGAGCCCAGTCTGGTTGCTGTCAGAGGGCAAACTTTTCCATGCTCATCTTCATTTTTATGATTATTGGAAGCCTTAAGACCTGTCGTTTGTGCTCCTTATTCAGTCAAACCTCAACTTTGTAAGTGTCTATTCACCCTGCCATAGCCCTCAGGCCTTGGAGGTTCTCATCCTGACATGGCATTCATCTGCGGAATTGTTATCCATGCTAATTGCTCCTGGAGTCAGTGTATGGTGGTAGATGTCCAAAACAAAACCCCAGTGTTGACAGTCATCACAGATACCATATCAGAAACAACCACTTGGTTGAACTTTTTTCTTTTTCTTTTTTTAATGGACGTTCAAATCTGTACATAACGTACTGCTCTTTAGGCTAATTTGAAACTTCACAGGAAGTCTTGTTAACCCAGCAGTCCCAAGGCAGGGACAGTTGCATAGTATCAGAACCCTGACCCTGACATTCTTTCAGAGAAGCTGTTTTCAAGGAAACAAAAGGCTTAGAGTTTTCGAGGATTATTACCCTCCTTTGTGCCTGTCAGTTCACTCCCTGCCAGATTCTGCATGGACCCCCCCACTGCGGAAGTTGGTTCCCTGTGCATGAGAGTCGAGGGCTGTTAAAGTTGAGGCTTTCTGGGATACAGTGTCCCTCTGTTCAACACTTCGGTGAAGGTACTTGGAATTTTTTGCAGAGGCTTGTACTCCTGGGCTCACATCACTGTTTAGGAACTAAGACTGTGATTGTGGCTTGCTTTATGAGAAGAAACCAGGTCCCCCCTTTTTCTCTTTTCGTGAATTGGACTCAGCACCATGCAGCCAGCCTTAGGACACTGCACTTCATCCAGCTTTCCTTTTGGGAAAACAGGACTTGAGTGAACACTTCTCTTTCCTATCTCATATGAAGCTGTGTCTCCAGGCTGCGTGTTTATCCCTCTCTGCTTTGTAGGCCTTTGCTTAACTGACTAGTCTTTCTCTCATTCTGTACCAGGAGACTCTCAGAACCTTTATGTAGAAATGCCTGATAACCAACTAATTGTCCTGCATGTGTTTTTGAAAAAGGTGGGGTTGGGTAAAGTTGGAAACAGGGGTGTGGATATTAAGTAAGTCACTGATGCTGACCCCATTGAGACACTCTGTGGGACTCCTTTTCCCTAGCAGAGGTTTGGGTACCTCACCCTCCTGCCTTGCTCACAGCACCTGGGAGCCCAGGCCAGTGTCCACCAGCCTATGACACACAAGATCAGGGATTCTTTGCTCCTGCTGCAAACGCTGTGTGAATTTACTGGCCAGTACTGGAAAGGGGACTGCTATTTATTTTTATATTGTGTATATTTTGTCGTGGTCTGCTGATTCCCTGTTTCACTGAGAGCGATACTTACCTCAATAGTTAGTTCAATATTGTGTGTTGGATAATTTTTTAAAAGAACTTTTTAAAAAGCTTTTTGATCCTTGGAGGTCTGTAGATTTATTTCCATATGAACTGGTTATTTTGTATAAAGTACATTCTTAAAATAGCAAGGCTCTGTTATGTGTGAGTTGTATGTATCCGTGTGTGTGTCACCTTTATCATCAGGGCACACTCACATCGCAACCCCATTAGCCAAGGCGGTTGGTGTTGGGGTCAGTGGTGGCAGCAGAGGGACTTGTGCAGGTCATAGTGTGTGTGCTCTGTAGAGAATTTCAGAACAATAATAAAGCTGAGTGGCAATTCTACACAATGTCAGGGATAAAATAACTCTTCTTAACTCACATCCTCCACCACCCATACATCCCTGTCCTTGGTACACCATCTAAAACACATCTGTAATACACTAATTTTGATCTCCTTCCAAAACCTATGGTGGACTGGGGGCCTGGTGGGTAAAGAGTATAGTTGATAATGGAGGAACAGGAGGCAGCCCCAGTCTGGAGCCATCTGTGAATTACACATGGCCAGAGTCAGAGATGCAAGTTTAAGCAGGTACTTTCCTACCTGCCCATTTCATTTCTTTTTTATTTCTAGTTCATGGGAAGGTTTTTGTTGTTGGGGGAGGAAGAGACTAGATAAAAGGTAGCCACCTTATTATCAGTCAGCTGGTCTTAAGACACCGAATGTCCTGGCCTGGTTTAACCTTAAATAATTCACCTTGTAAAGCAATTGCATTCAGTAGAAATTCTGCCATAGGCAATAACAATTTCCAAATCTATTGTTCACTCAGGTTTATCCATTTCTAGGGCAATGACCAATCTTTCCATCTTGATCTCCAGTTGTTTGGTGTCAAATTATCCCCATTGATACATTATTATTTGCTAACATTTTTGAGCTTTTATCCTGTCGCTCTTTTAAAACTGTTCACAGTTCATTCTCCCATAGAAAGCATTTTTCCTGTAAAACATTGTGTCGATCACATTTTCTAGTTTAGGAGTTGCATTTCCATATAATTTTTGGAGAAAAAAAAATTAACTGTAAAGTGAACATCACTAGTAAGCCCCATATTTGATGTGATGGCTTGTCAGATTGCTCATCTCACTTGACTCAATGTCTCTTCCCCTAGGGGATAAGGTGGGTGGGACACTGTTTTGACCTGGCTTCCTTTACTGTCACGGCGAGGTGTGACACTGCTACGGTTGGCACCAAATCCACTTCCTGTGCATATTAGTTTCGCACCCTTAGAATATATGCAAAAATCGATGTCTAACTTTTGGATGCTCAACTGCAACTTCTCCTCCTGTGATGTGAGTTTCTTATCAAAAGCTAAAATTTTTTGACAGTTTTATCAAATAGGGTTTAACTTTTTTTAAAAAATAGGAATTTAGCTCTTATCTGAGTACCTTGGTGTTGCCAGATTTATCTGCTTGGGACCAAGACAAAGTATCTCCCACTGGTCAGCTCTTGTCTCCAAACGTGATGCAGTAGGCAATATTAATCTAGCTCTAGTTTTGGAATTATTTACACTTGTTAAGCCCCAAGGGTAACATACCTTACACAAAAATTACGTACTCAAAGAGCATAAAAAAGCTAGTAGGGCAATATTTAGGAAAAAGAATTTGTCAGTGGGTATTAGTTTCAAAATTCTGAAACTTCACATTTTGACATTTGGAAGCATCCAAAGGTGCTTCTCGTGTTCAACATTAATGTCTTTTGGCTCCAATTCCTGTCATTGCGAGGAAAGGTATCTTAATTTTATAAACAAGTAGTCTCTCTAGGGGCTCAGTTTTGCCGTAATCTCTGCATTCTCTGAGAGTGAATTGAGAAAATGACCCAGGGTTGGTGCTTTTTTAGGCTGACCTTCACCCTGAAATCTTCCTGGAGAGGTGAATGGCCTATGACATTAAATTGTTAGGCAAGAGTTGCCATTGGACCTTCCTCCTCAGTGTCCAGGCGGCTGTCCCCTCCCCCACACTGGATTTTCTGCAGATGGCCCAGCAGATCTGTTTCACTGGTCTCATGGTTATCCCTTGGATTTTTAAAAGGAGAACATCTGTGCGTATATTGTAATCCCCTTTCTGCCACCAAGGCTCACCTAATTGTAGCAAAAACCATCAGTTCAAAATGTATTGTGAAATACTTGCCACAAAGGCAGCTGGAAAGTCCCCAGATTTGGCTGTTGTGTCCTGAAACCCACCCCCTTCTGCGTTTGTGACATGCATGTAAATTTAGGTGCCCTGGAGTCCTCAGGTTTGGGAAAGCACAACCAGTTCCTAGAAGCTTGGACTTGAACCTCGTTCTGGACAGCAAATGACAAGAGTGGAGTAGCCCTATTCTAGCCAGTTAGAGCTGGACAGAATTCTTTTTAAAGCAGTGGAGTTCCCTGGATTATATCCAAGGTTTTTACTCTGGGAAGGAAATTGAGTACAGTAGGAAAGCAAAGACATATCCAAGAGACAGCTGGCCTGTGTGCCCCGAGGTAAAGATTGACTAACACGCAGTCAGGCTCTCAGTAAGTGTATTAAATGCCCACTGTGTGTCTAGCACTTTGCCTAGTTAATAAGGAAAAAAGCTCCCTCTGCTCAGACTTCATAATAAAGGGAGAAAAACTGGACTGTTAGAATACACTGGTAGTTTAAGCAGTAGATTGAGATTTTTTTTTCCCCTCCCTGTAATTTAATCTGCAGGAGGATGGGTTCTCAGCTGTGTAATTTGGACAGACTTAAACACAAGCCAGATACTGAAAGCTAGGGCCTTGTCAGTTGGGAACCTTTAGTTTAATAGTTTGTTCATGTCAGCAGGCTCTACCTATTTTCCCGAGTCCTTGTTCCAGCTGGAATTCCTCTCCCCTATCACCCCAGTTCTACTCTCACTAGGCTAAAATGACACAGTGCAGTAATTAACTGCAGTGCAACACTAAAGGGACATTTCCTGGGCCACAGCATGTCCCCACTGTCTCCATAGTAATCTATCATCTTGTGGTCACATGATCTCTGCAGTCTGGAAAATCGGCACCAGCATCACCTAGGAATGGGTTAGAAAGGCACATTCTGGCTTTCCGTCTCAGACCTACTGAATCACTGAAAGTGAGTTTTGGCTATCCTAACAAGCTCTCCTGGAGGTTCTGATGCATACTGATGTTTGAGAACACTGACATAGGAATGGCCCCAGCATTGACATTTTAGCCCTGAGGCACACCTAATTCAAGTTGAATATCTCATTCAAACCAGGTGCGTATCATAGCACTCTCTTAATGAGCTGCCAGAAATTTGCCCCACACACTGCTGGTTAACATCAATAAAGACTGGGTGTTCCTCTATTCCAAGCTAAGGGAAAGGTTGCAGAGTTAGAAGGATTGCAAAGGGGAAATTCTCTTCCCTGCCCCCCAACCTGGCCCTGCATTCCTTGAATCCCGCTTCTCTCTCACCTTCCTCCATCAAATCTCTCAGTCTTTGTTTCCTGTCCCATCTTCTGGACATAGGGTGTTTGCGAGAGTCTAAACCCAACAGAGCACTGCTATGCTGGCGTCGGTGCTATTCAGTCATAATTAGGGCCTCCCTGCTGTTTAACAGTCTCCTGTTTATTCCTGGTGACATCTGCAGCTAGTATTGTGATTTATTGAACAAATTTTAGTGAGCTTATGTTTGGCTTTGTAATGCCCTAAACCAGTGATTGCCAATCTAGACTGCCCATGAGGGGTTTAAAAACCTGGGCTCTACTCTCAGGGAGTTTTTCACTGGTCTGGGATGCAGCCTGCGCCTCAGGATTTTCTGAATCATTCCAAGTAATTTTGTTGGGCAGTCAACATCGAAAACTCTTCAAAACCGGTTGTTTGCAAACCATTAACATGCACCTGAATCGACTTGGTAATTCTGTTAAAATCAGATGCTGATTCACTAGGTCTGGAGTGGGTCCCTAGATTCTGCAGTTTTAACTAGCTTGTTGCAGGACAACACTGAGTAGTAGTAGACCTCAAACTCATCCTTCCCTTCCAACACGTTATTTAAGGAGGAAGGCCACTTCACATAGTCCTCTATTTTTCATGTGCTTTTCCACATCTTCACTCTTTTCTCTTCTGCCTGTAATGTCCCCTCAGCAAAGCTGACTTGCTCTTGTACTGTGGTTTTCAGCCTCTTCTACTTTTGTCCTGACCAAATCCTGATTAGCCTCTCCCCTCCCTATAAAATGTTGCTCCAGTTTCCTCTATTTCTCTACCTTCATCCAAACTCTACGATTGAACCTGTTTTTTTTTTTCTTTTTTTCTACTGCCAACCCCACTGCAATTTGGCTTCCTCCCTACTTTCTTAGAGCTACTGCCCTACATAGAGCCTTAGCTCCATTTCACAGCCATTTAGATCTCTGTGTAACCTCTGGCAGTTGGATCAACCCCCCTTGGAACTGGTTCTTGTTGGTGCCATGACCCACACTTGCCCAGGTCTCCCACATCCTTGTCCTCCGGTTTACCTCTTGCTTCTCAAAGGCATGCTCTTTCTGACTGACACTTGGTCCATTTCTTCTCTCTGCAATTGCCTCACGCTTCCATCTTCAGTTCAGACGAGTGTTGGACACACTCGTCTCCCTTTCCAAAAACTGCTGGACACTGGCATCCACCCATGTTTTTGTTTACCATTGTTTAAATTTTTTTATTACTAAGATGATTTGTAATTTTATTTCCAGACTTTATTTCCTACACTTTGCCTATTTTTTAAATCCTTTCTTAATGATTTTATCGTAATTCACATTAATACCAACACCATCCCCTCTCCCTCCAATGCCATCTATTTGTTTAAATGTAATATACTAGCTTCGGTGCTCACCTCTCCTTTTTACTGTAGTAAAATACACAAAAGATTTACCATTTCAACCATTTTTAATTGTGCACTTTAGTTGCATTAACTACATTCACATACTGCAACTGTGACTACCATCCATCTCCAGAACTTTTATCCCATACAAAACTATCCCCATTCAACACACTTCCTTCCAGTCCCTGGTAATCACTTTTTTACTTTCTGTCTCAATGAGTCTGACTACTCTGGGTACCTCAAGTAAATGGAATTGTACACTACTTGTCCTTTTGTGACTCAGCATAATGTCCTCAAGGTTTATCCACATTGTAGTGTGTATCAGTTTTCTTCCTCTTTACGGCTGAAAAATAGTCCGTTGTATGGGTGTACCACATTTTGTTCATCTGTTAATCTGTTGACAAACATTTGGGTGGTTTCTCCCTTTGGGCTAGATGAACATGGGTGTACAAATATCTGCTTGAGACCCTGCTTTCAATTCTGGGTATATAGCCAGAAGTAGAATTGCTGAATCATAGTAATTCTATTTTTTAATTTTTGAAAACCTGCCATACACTGCTGTACCATTCCACAGCTACTGTACCATTTACATTCCCATCAGCAATACACAAGAGCTCTAATTCCTCCACGTCCTCACTGGCACATGTTTTCTGCTTTTTGGTAATACCACTGCTGCGAGGTGATGCCATTCTACCACTCTGTCTTGTACACATTGCTGTCCACTTTTGTGGCTGCCACTTTAAAATCATGTCAACAGCCAAACTTATTCCCTCCCCTCTTTCCTTACATATCCAATCCTGCTCCTCCTAATGAGGGTGATAACATAGCTTTCTCCTGCTGATCTGTGTTTCAGGTCTGCTATCTGTTCCTGGTATATTTAATCAGCAACCAAGCCCTATTGATTCTTCATAGAAATGACATCACTTCCCTCCTGTGTATGTTCTCATTTTTATGTCTTGCCTGGATTATTGTAACCTCCCTGGCCTGTCCAAACCACTTTGCTACCGTAAACTTCTGTGCCCCTACTTCATCCACATCCTGTATCAGCTTCCCATTGCCCACCAGGAAAGAAAGGAAATAATTATCATTTAGTGAACAGCTTTTATGTGCCAGGCACTATACTAAGTGTTCTACTTCCGAGTTTCATTTTATAGATGAGGAAGCAGGCACAGAGAAGTAATAACTTGTTTAAGGTCACACAGCTAGTAAGTGGTAAACTGGAACTCAAACCAGCTCAAAAGCAGTCTCACTCCAAGCCTATTCTTAGCCACAATGATGTACTGCTTCATGTGATCCTCAGCAATCCTATGAAGTAGATATCTCAATCCCCTTGATGAAGAAAAATCACTAAAGTAACTTGCCTAAAAAGATACAGTTATTAACTTGGGAGCTGGAATTTGAGCCTGGGTCTCTGACACCAAAGTCTCTCTCTCAAATCCTTGGCCAGACAATAAGATCCTGTACTATGCAGACCCAAAATGGCTTGCCAGCTTTATTCTCCTACCTAGCCTCATCCTATGCTCCAGATGAGAGAGTTGGCTCCTGAGGGGAAGCTGGATTTCAGTTTTACCCCTCCACCTCTGGTCTTCAAGCCCCAAATCAATTACTGCTGCCTATCCGAAATCTCTAAGCAAGACCTCAGATAAAACATTCCAAGTGCAGGGAATGCTCCAAAGCTACCTGCACCCCTCCCACTGCTGAACACAGAGAGCTCCCCCGAGAAACCCATGCCAGATGAACAAAAGACATCCCTAAAGTGGCCTTATAGACCACTGAAAGTACAGATTGGTTGCACTAGTCAGCAACCCACTATTAGAAAAGTGTGAGTCTGAGAAGCTGAGGTTAGCTTTTGGCACCAAATTTCTGCCAGAAGTGTTTACAGTGCATTGATTTTCTGTTGTTTGTCCTCCTCCCTGACCTCCAGGTCTCAGTGGGTGATGAGTCTCCCATTACACCCTTCCCCCACCAATACTGCCTTAAGCAAATCTTTTCCTAGCCTGAATTTTTGTCCCAGTCATACTAGCAGCTTAGTCAACAGCCACCTGCTGCCACCTCGGGTGGAAGGGCTGGCCCGGGTCTCTTTGGGGTTCCATTCAAACCCAACCTGTTTGAGGGTGAAAGGCCTGCTGTGGGTGTGAAGAGAGAGGCCACTGACCAAACAAGAACTGTAAATCAAACCTTCTTGCTCATCAGCTGTAATCCAGCCTATATCTTGGCATCCAGAAAAGGCAAACATTTCTTACTGAAAGCAGGTAAGTGTGTCTGTTGGTATCAAGCTTACAGTTGGTAGGAGAAGACCTTCTAGCAGATAGTTGGGGGAGAGGTCAGAGAAACCAATGGGAAAGAGCCTCCTCTCTCCTTTGCTACACCAAGTGGGAGGAGGGGTAAGCAAGAGGAAGCAGCCGCTGCCTAATGATGGGTACCTTTGCAGCGCCTAAGTCAGGAAGCAGGTTATTTCCTTGGCACTGCCGCTATAAAGGGCTCGTCCCAGGAGTGCTCTCCTTGCCCTGCTAGTTGCGGGGGGGTGGGGGGGGGAGGCGGGATGAGGCTATGGTCCTCTTCCCGGAGCGGCTCCTCATAACGTGAAGAAATAATGGCAGCTGAAGAGTGGAAGACTGTCATGATAAGACTGACTGCAAAGTTGAAGGCACCGGCCACCCTCATGGTTCATCCATTCATTCAAGCATCTGTATGGAATGCCTCTGCACCAGGCTCTAGGATACAGCACTGAGACTCTCCTCTCAAGTGATTTATCATTTTGATGGAGATGCAGGCCAATAAACAAACTTGTAATACAAATGTGGTAAGTGCTAAATCTAGGTGTTAAATGGAATCACAGGAGAGGCTCCTAGCCAGGATTTGAGGGACTTGGGAAGGGCTTATGGAAGCTAGATCCCAAAGAACAATTTGTAATTCATCGGGTAGAAATGAGTATTCTAGGCAAGGGGACAGTATGTACAGGGCTCAGATGCAAGAGACTGTGCCATATTCCTGGAAATGAAAGTTCAGAGTGGCTGGTAAGGAGAAGGGTAGAGTGATTTGGGAGATGCAGCCAGTAGGAAAGGGGCCAGGTCAGGGAGAGGAGTTGGGAAACTATCCTAAAAGTGGGGGAAAGTTGCAAAGCTCTTTAGGCAGGAAAGTGCTTAAATGGCAGGCTGGAAACATGTGCCCTTTTACTCACTTGGCCTTGTTATAGAGAACAGATTTGAGGAGAGCCAGGCTAAAAGCAGGGAGCAGAGTTAGGAGGCTGGCAGGTGCCCCGGGCAGTGGATGAGGCCCCTATGACAGCAGTGGCTAGTGGCCATGAGAGACTTAGGAGAGAGTTTTTCCACCCAAGATGAAGGCCCTGTTTTTTTCTCCCAGTCCATTATGGACCAATGGTTTTGTAAAATACTATTAAAGTGGATTACTAGGAAAACATTTTTTAAAAATATAAGTCCACATTTTCATTAATAGAGTCTAAAACATAATGTTACTCCAGTTGCCATAAAATTTTCTGAACACTTATTCTCAATTTCTGAAATCGTCACAGACTGGCACTGAGCCATACACCCCTGAGCAGCACCAACGTTAAGAAGAGAGAGCTGCCAGAACATGACTGATTAATTGGGTTCAGAACAGGGAAAGGGCGAGTTAAGGATGGTGCATAGATTCGGCCTGGATGCCGTTTAAGAGCTAGGGAACCAGGAGATGCAGCAGATCTGGAGGAGTGGGTGCAAGTAGCAATAGGAGAAATGTTGGACATGTTGCGTGTGGCTGGGCCACTAAGGTGGGAATGAGCAGAAGACAGTTAAGATGATGGTGTGGGGCTCAGGGCAGAGAGTCTGAGCTGGACAGACCTGAGAATCATGACCGAGCAGACAATAACCAAAGCCCAGAAGAAGGCGGGCTTGTTCCAGATTGGTGTGTGGAGGGGAGGGAGTCAAGGCCCATCAGCAGGATTCTGTGGGCACCAGTGACCAAGGGCCCCAGTCACAGGAGGCAGAGGAGCCACTGGAGAGAACCCGAGGAGTCACAGAATTCAAGGGAATAGAATGTTTTAATACGGGGAGAATGAAAAGTGTTGTAATCTGAGCAGCTCACAAAACCCTGGCCTGCTCTGGTCCCTGTAGAGGGGACCACTAAGAATCATTTCTCTAAATAGATTTGTTTCTGCACAGCTTGTTCAAAATATGGTCCTGAGAAACAACGTATTAAGAATTACTTTACAGTTTTTTGTGCTTTCTGAGTTTTCTAAGTTTTTTCTATTACTCTAAGTACTTTAAGAAATAGAACAAATTTAAATCTATCTGTTAACTAGCTATCTCCTAGGGAAGCAGACAGGGTGAGTCACAGAGTAGTGTTGGTATTAGCGGAGTGGGCCCATCTGGGTCCAGGAACCTGAGCAGCCCCTGGAATGCTGCCCTCAGTGTGAGGAGACTGAGGGTAAGATAGCTGGGCCCCGACACACAGGCTTCCTCCCAGCCCCACCAGGACCTGTCTGCTTCTAACTGTCTAGGACTGTTCTTAGCCAGCTCCTTGTTTGCAAAATAGAGCCTCAGTAGTGGGGGGAGGGGCAAGCAACCCTCTGTGTACACACACGCGCACACACACCCACCTACCAGCAGCAGCAGCACTCTCGGAAACTGGGCACCTGTGGATTGAGGGACCAGCCCCAGACCACACACTAGCAGAATGGTGTCCACAGTTGACATATTCTGCCTGCCAAGCCAGGTATGACTTCCGGAAGTGCCCGGGAATGTTCCCTCCCTCCTTGCAGGCAGCTTCCTCTCCTTAACTTGCCTTCCTCAGCCCCTCAGGTTTCAGACCTCCAACAGTTCCCCAATTCTTCCTTCTCCTTCAGCCCTGCTCAGTTTCCAAGTCCAGGCCCTTTATTTTTTAAAAAGTTCTTTCCCAGCCAAGCCTTTTACTCTGCACTCTCTCTACTAACCTAATCCTTTCTTCTCCCCTTCATTGCTTTACCATAATGGCCCCCTAACTGGCCTCTCACCCGAAATTTCCTTTTCTCAACCTATTCTTCCAGAATTATTGTCTTCATACCACATTCAACGTGGTAGTTTTCCCCTTAAAAGGATTCAGTGTTTTGTTACTGTCTACAAGACAAAATTTGTAAAAAGTTACTTAATTTGGGTGCTGGGAGACACACACCATACCTGACAATCCCAAGGTCCACACTGGCCTTCTCCAGGCCTCTGCAGCTTCTTTTCCTCAGTTCTCCTACTGAGTAAACAAGGGGGCATACTGTGCCCCCCGAACCTTTGTTTGGCCCCACCTGTGCTCACACAGTGCTCACATCCAGGCTGCACACTCCTTCCTCTTATAAACTTTCCCTTTTTTTTTTTTTATATGTTTTTTATTACCTTTTTTTTTTTTTAGGCGAGGCAACCCTTGGTTGACCTCACAGGTTGTAAGGACCTTGTCAGCAGCTTACAATCCGTTATTTTTTTATTTTTTACACCTACAGCACCTGGTCTTCCTAGGTGGTCTCCTATCCAAGTACTAACTACCGCTGACCCTGCTTAGCTTCCCAGATTAGGCAGGATCAGGCTTGTTCAGAGTAGCATGGCCATAGACTCCCTTATTTCTTAAGGTCACTTCTAGCTCCTTCTGCAAACCAGCCTATACTGATCTCTCACATTTATGAACCCTCATTGTCTAAGCAGCTCAATTACTATTAAATGAAATGTGAAGTTTTTTTTTAATTTTTTGTATATAACTTAAGGACTCTGGTTACCAAAACTAACTTACTTAAGACAGTAAGTCAGTTTATTAGAAGAATAGTGGAATATCCCTTTAGTACCTTTGGTACTGTAATCAGGGTTTTAAATACCACCAGAACTCTCACTTGTCTATCTTTATCTTTGTGGTTCTGCTTTATTCATCGCTCTAAAAATCATCTCTCTGTTTCCCAGATCACATGACAGTAAACAGGACTGCTTATTGGGGCCCACATTTTATATATTATAGAAAAAAAAACTCAAAAGAAGCTACACAATTTTTCACTTTTAAAATTCCTGTGATGGAGATTGCATAACCTACCTTAAGTCAGGCACCCATACTCAGACAATCAACATTACCCAGGGAACAGCGTCACCTTTTAGGAATATGGCAGTTCCCACTGCCACCAGATGCAATGTT